AAAATTAGAAAAATTGCTTAATTAAAGTCGATTTACGATTACTATTAAAATAACCTTCTGGGAACCTCAATGAACAGGTCAAAAAGGGTGAGGACAGTGTTTGCCCCCCCCCCCTCAACATGGCTTCTCGTCTTTTCTTCGAGATAATAGAAGTTTGTGAAAGTGGGACTAGGGGCCGCACCATCGCCATCCTTTGCAGGCTAAGGCAAGAATATTCGGCCCTTGGCTCAGGACAGCCTCTCCGCTCCATTCGAGATTGATTTGGCCGTTCCTTATAAAGGGTGCTATGGACGAGAGGAACAGGAAGTAGAGAACAATGGGCTCTCCCTTTCAGCCCTACTCCTCCAAGTCGGTTTTCACCCGAAGTTCTTATTACAGCAAAGTAGAACTTCGAAACGTCTTTTCAACACATCCTTCTATAACTAAAAGGAATCACACCAGAAATGCGTATGTATGCGCTGACTGCGATATACTTTTCTATAAGTATTAGTTATTTGTTATTTACAAAAGAGCAGATACGAGGACTCGAACTGCGGCGTTAAAACAGCAGTTAACAAACAAAACAAGTCAAAATTCATTGCTAAAGCTTTCAGCCTCGCGGTCATTGCCGATATCGGCTAACCGGCTCAACACGTTAGACGTGTGAGTGCTGAAAGCTATGGTACGTATACCATGAAAAGCTGAGTTGGAATGAAATGGTGCCCCGGTAGCGTAACTGGTAGCGCACTTGCCCGGAAAGCGAGAGGTGCGGGTTCTAGTCCCGCCTGGGGCGAAAGTTTTGTTCACAACCCAGCATTCTTGTGAATTTTTTTATTTTACTTTTCGTCATTATTATGAGTATGTTATATAATTTTATAATTTACACGTCACAAAATTCACAGAAATAACTGTAAATTAAGTGCTCGCGGTAGCTATTCGGAAAAGTAGCCGCCCAATTGCCTTCATTTTTTTGCACATTTATTTCTATAAATACCAGAGCATTTCATCAAATTATTTCCAGATGAACTGGATACATGATTTTCGTTCAAACGGTGCCAAGCAGAGAATTGCCGACGTCGTTGATGTTGGTTGAGCGGAAATACTGCTTCCACAGGTTTGCAAACGTCTCATAGTCGATGGCATTGAACAGGCAGCCGGCAGGATTCTACGAAATCATAGAAGATACGGTAGACCTTGGAAGAATGCAAAATGCATACTGAACGAACCACAGCAAATTTATCGAAACATGCGATCGCGTCTTCTCGAGGAATGGCGAAGTAGCCAAGAACCTCGAATGTTAGATGCATGATATCACTAGCAACCACAAAAATACAGAAACCACATTATGGCTCCCCCAACCACTCAAGTCGTTAACCAATTCTCTTCTCTCTAGCACATCCAGCGTATATATCAGGCTACTACCAATATTTTTAGCTATATCAAAAACTCTCATCCCGAAGTCATCAAAACAGGCGACATGCTCAGAAAGCATCGAGAAACTACCACCCAAACCTTTTCCCTGCCGCGCATCTTTCTCGTCTTCACGCTCAAGGCCAACCCACATTACCCGAATCCCCTTAAACAGACGTGCATCTCTAAGAGCACACTGTCAGAAGGCAGCGACGCAAAAGCGTGCAACAAACATTGTAATGAGCACCTTTCGTCCAAGAAGAGTAAGCAATACTTACAGGTACCAATGAACGAGAGTGGTCTAAAATATGAGGTTAACATCGCCCGTCAGGAACTCCTCCACTCACATTACCAAATTTTCAAATTTGTTTCCGTAAGTGAAATGGTCAAAATATGCGTCAAATTAACTCGTAAAACTCCGGTGGTGTGCATGACGATAATCTAGCGAAAACACCCCCCAAGAATTTTGCGACCGCTTCAAATATGGCAAATTAGGTCGTAAAGCTGGTCGGTGTTGCATGACGATGATTTAGCGAAACACAGAATTTTGCGAAAATAATTACAAAAAAAGTAAAAAAAATTCGAAATAAACTGATAGCCAATCGATCAGTGGTTTCGATAATAGGTCGAACACTCAAGAGCAGGGTGAATATCGTCGAGGATTCCTCAACGGCACGTCGAGGATTTTCGCCTGATCAGTTACGTTCTCCCGCGCGGACATTCACACTCGCCATGCGCGAGCCGTCTGTGCTCTCCGCGCGTATGTTCACTCTCGGCACTACTCTCGCACAGTAGAGAGCCATGGTCGAGGAATTCCTCGACCGTTATTCACCCTGCATAAGAGTAGTGGTAGTAGCTCCTGACGGTCTTTTCCCTCGCCGCTATGCCTATGTCATGCTAGAAGGACCGCTGGAAAATAGTGACTTCTGCCCAAAGGCAAAATTCACTATTTCGAGGGGCTTTTCTGGCGTAGCATGGTAAAACGATTACGGTATGCATGACCTGCCCTTCTTACAGACACTCCTTCTACTGTTGTAGGGTAGAAGCTTTTCAAATTTGATGAACTGAAAAAAGTGAAGAAGTGCCAATCCAGGTGAAGCGGCTGAATCATCTTAGCATTCTTGAACTAAAGTACGATAAGGAGAATGACCAAAAAGGGCTTTGATGCGATCACTGTTGGAAGTGGATTGACCTGAATTATGGCCTTATAGTTAGGGATTTGAGAAATGGCCTGCGTTTGGAGTGTTAATTACCTTGACAACCTTACTGTCTCTTTGGCTATCAATTCACGCCTAATCGAGCCTTTGAACTTCGTCAACCTCACCCAGTCGCCATTTTTCACTTGCTGTGTCCGCCGAAGTCTCGCTATCGGTTTTTGCGTAGTCTGGCGTACTTAGACAGCTTCGTTAGTGACTGTCA